CACACTGACAGCAATATGTCTTTTGTAATTTCTCTCCAATTCGATGAAATCCCATTGCGTGTTTTTTTGTTTCCAGATTCGTACCTTGACATTTCATGACTTAAAAATGATTTCGCTGGACGTATAGACAATTAGCAATAAAACGAAATTACTGGTAATAATTCTCCAAAGTTAAGATCTGTAATAGAACGCTCCCATTCAAGATATATAATCTTATATTTCGCCTTTGCATGTACATAATACGAACAGAGCGTTTCATTTTCCAAGTTATTTTTAATCGGTTTTGTTAAAAAAAAAATAATAAAGAGAAAACGAAAATAAATATTTCATTTTACTATGAATGTATCCAATAATGTATTATAATAAACCCATATTCAATGTTCGGAAGATAATTATTAAAAACGTTGCAATTTATCGGCGTATTATTCTATGCAGAAGGATTTATGTGTTAGTCACTTAATTTTATATAACGGTACCCAAGTTATAAAAAAAAAAACACCCTGTGCTTCTTATCATAAAAAAGTCCTTTCCTTTTCATGACGTTTTAGAAATATTTAGGACAAACTCCGGTTATTGGCAGTTAGTCGCAGGCACTAACTTTTCCTCCCAAAATGAAGGAATTGGAAGACGGTTTTTTCTCTCATTGAAAGCAAAAAAAAAAAAAAACAAAAAAAAAGGATGTCCAGATTTAACAAAAAAAGCTCTCGCTTCATTAACGTCTTTATTTATAGGGATCTTAAAGTATATTCCCTGCTGAAGCGACGCCAAGCGATATATTTTGGGGGAAAGGAAAACCAAAAAATAGAAATCTTAACCACGTGTACTTTCAAATGGGAGGTAATGCTACACGAGCGGAACGACCTAATCCTCGGTGCTCTAATCATATGTAGACGTAATGTTTCTGAAGCGTATCACAGCGGATTAAAGGATTTAGTCAGCATCTAGATTGGACTAGATTAATGAAGTGTAATCTCCATTACTGAAATTTAAATCGTCAAGTCACGATCATAAATCAAACTCCTTGTCAAAGGAATCTTTATAAAAATGAATATTTAAGTAAGAAAAAGAGATCTCTCTTAACCAAAAAAAAAAATAAAAACAGTAACAGAAAAGATTTTGGTTGCCTTAAAGACCAGATTATGAAATTTATTTCATCGCTTTAAGTTTAACCATTTTCTCTTATTCCATTCATCAAATGCTTAAAAAGCAATATCAAAGAGTTATGGGAAAAAAAGTTTTAGAGAGATAAACAGAATACATCTGAATATGTATTATATCGAGCAAATTAAAGGAGGGAGGCATTTTTGAGTGTCTTTGTAAATTTATATTCAGTCTCTTGTTGCACTTCAAAATGGAAGAATGAATTTCTAAAGTAATTTTAAGTAATTATTGAGGAATCTCTTTGATATTCAAATTATTCAAATAATAAAGCTGTGTGTGAAATAAAAGAGTTCACCCAGTATTATTTTTCACAGCTATATTGCTGTAGACTAGATTAAACATAGATATATTTATTCCATGGGATTATTCTGTTATAGCAATATTCTTTATGTTGGTAGAGTTTTTAATTGATTTTATAATACATTAATAAAAATACGCATTTACAATATTTCATTTGAGTTTGCCGTTGAAGAAAGCATCACATTCAAATTCACTCTTTCTAACAAGAATATCATGTCATCATTTGACAAGGTCTATGCTCGATACACTGACCTTGTCAGCAAATACAGTCTACCATGTTAAATCTGACTGAAGTTTTCATATTATTTTATATTCTAAACATTGAGTTGTTTAGTATTTTTCGTTATATACCAATCAAGGAGCTCGAGCCTGGTGTAATCGGTCGACAGGGCTGCTCTCTCCCTTATGGTATCTGATCCTACCTCTGATGTTTAAGAGGTATTTGATCTAACACTATTTTTATTGTGTGAATGGATTTCAGAGGTTCAATAGTGTTGGTTATCTCCATATTTATTTCACAACACTGAATCCATATTCAATGTACTGCCTATACCATAAGATATAATCTGGCAAAAAGAAAACGTTTCTCGAAAATCGTCAAATAAAAACTTTTGTTTCTCTAGGATATATTATGCGATGAATTATGTCTTTTTAGTAGGCATAGATCCCCTTTTTGAACTTTTTTCTTCGCATTCTTCTTAATTCTTATCTAACATTCCCTCCATATAAAAAGGACTAGCCTTCTTAAAGTAAAACCTTGGACAGAATTTAAATACACCTCGACCGATTTTTGTGAACGTCCGACATGTTTTTATTTTTAACACTCGATTTACCAACATTTAATTTTAACATGAGTCAATATCCCAGGACTGACATTGTATAAAACTAAATGGACAGAAATACGTGCCGACTTCTCCCGCTAAAAAATAACCTGGATAAAGTGAAGACAGGAAATTAATTGTTATACTTTCTCTTGTAAATTAAATTTCATTTATTTTTATTTAGTAATTTTTATTTATTTATTTTATTTTAAATATACCGGTATGAACTTTAGTTATTTATATCAGTAAGGAGATTGCATTGAATCTAATGAAAGTCGAATTCTTCAAAATCGCTGCTTTAGCAAGAGCTCTTTTTCGAAAACTATAATTCAACGGTCTTAAACATTTCTATCTTAAGCTTCAAAAAATGATACTAGTACTCCCCGCTTTTATATGATTGTATTTGCTATGGGAAACTCCAGATAATTGCGCAACCGAAACCAATAAAAAATGGAAGTGTAAAATTAGGACATGTTATTAAGATTCTGTGAAAGTCTATTAAAGTTTAAAAGGCTCTAATTAAATTTTATTTAGTGGAAAAGGGAAGGATTCAAATAAGGTAAAAGGAATTATCGAAACAACTTTTTAAAGAGTTATCACTCATCTCTTATTACGTGTGAATTTGTGAAATAAAAAATAAGTACTTAAACATTTTGGACTCTGGTCGCACTTCATCTCCAGATACCCGATTGAATGAAAGGTCAAAGGCCTTGCTCTCTCAAGGTCATGGTGAGCAACGAATACATGTATACACCCGAAGTAAGAAAAACTGTTGGATGTATTTTTTTGCATGTTGTAGTAGCAAAGTTCTTGACACTTGATGATAAACACCACGCAATTTAGTATATTTCCTGGGAATAAATTGGGTCAACAAAGCACACCCCGAAACTGCTAAGACTGTCATTAAAATCCTTCTTCCTGAATTAATACAGATGACATGGTGTGCTTAATTACTGTTTAAAAATGCAAGCATCATTAAAAAATGTTATGGAAGATGTAGCTCACCGATATTTGAGTGTTTCATGACAATAACATAAACTTGTGTTACCTAGTTTTGGTTTTTTATGCTATTTACATTCATTTGCATTGGTATAACGATTAGCTTTCTTTTCCTTTAACTAAAAGCCCGAGATACGAATACATGTTGACCGAATTTTCCGTAAATTTAACTCGACGTGTTTTATATTCTCATTTGATTGTCGATTTTGGACGCAATTTTGTGCCAGCTTAGAGCTTGCAGATAAACATCAATGGCACGCGATGCACAAATTCATATTCTGCCGTCAGCAGATATGGCCAGCAGAAGAAATGCTCGAATTACCGATTTATTTCTTAAGGAACACTATGATTATTTACGAATGTGATAGTTATAGTTTATGTATTATTTACGAATGAGATAGTTAAAGTTTGTTTTCTAGTACTGATTACAAGAGAAAAAAAATCTTATCGAAAGCAATTGCTTATTTGGATTTTTAAAAAAAAAATATGATTTGAGAACGTTTTATAGATGTTGTTGTTAATCATTTTAGCACGATTATGTTAAGAAAATCTATTTCGTAAAGTGAAATCCATCTGTGAAATTTATTTGAAAAAAAGCAATATATATTACCTTGAATTTAAAATGAACAGCGTGTCGTTAATATTTTTCTACACCTCATTTAATTTTTGTTATTAAATCAGACTGACTTTTATTTGATGAAATTGCACAACCAAACAACCAAGCACGACGTAAACAAAAGTGTTAATATTATTAGTTTAAGTTTTATCAACACTAATATTCAAAGGAAATCTTAAAAACAAATGAAATCAAATTTATCCCACCGGCCAGCATACAGGATGCAATCCATAAGTATTAATATCCCTGTTATATTTATGTGAGATACATGTATACTGGGACAAAATAATCATAAATTATGCCAAATGATATATATCTTTATTTAAAAAAAAACAGGACTGCAGAACCTGCGCATATTGTATCTATTGGATCATGAATCTGTGTACATAGTGTCAGTTTTTATCAAAATTCAACAAAGACCTGTCAGCAAATGGATTTTCGTTCACGCACATGTTGCTGCACATGTACGAATTTTGAGAGGACATTCCAAGTCCCGAAAGGTCGTAGGGGTCAGGCGGCTCCACCCCCATCACGTGGTTTCAATTTTGAACCTTCAATCTTAGTAATCATTGGTATTAGAGGTCTTATTATGTAATGCTACTATAGAGATGGTTTCCAAAAGTTTAGCATATATTAACAGAATTCAAAAGTTCACAAAAAGGTCAAGAGATGATTCAAATTTTCGCCCTCAGCATATTTTGAATTTAATTAATGTATACAAGTAATTGTGGCAGATCTCTAACATGATTGAAAATTTTGCTTGTAATAAAAACGTGAAAAGTGAATGCTGAAATTCTTAAAGTTGATATTTTATATTCATCACATGCGCTTTGTTTTTACTTGGTGATGATGCGTTAAATTAATCGTAAAATGTTCGCATGTTTTGACATTTATATAATTACGAAAAAGAGTTCCGAAAGAGCTATTTTGTATATATATAGTATATACAATGTGTATATATAGACCACTATGACAGGGAACCTGCAGGTCTAAGCTAATATATCAGGTCACTGACTCTCGTGGTAAAATTCGGCTAAATGGACTACGAGAGAAAAGGGGCGTGAGCTTGCATTTATATAGCTGCGTTCTGGGAGTATAGGACTATTGTCAGCGAACTCGGTGGATATATGCATAAGTATTTAAAATCAATACTACGTCTATTGTGGGAACTCTATACTTGAATGAGAGATACAAACAGCTGATTGGTTCAATTCTGGGTAAAAGGGTACCCTTTCCCTTATAAGGGAGTTCATGACCTAATTTCACTACTATTATAAATGAACGGATCAGCTGTTTCGCTGAGCTATCAGACTCTCACGCGAAAGCACCTCTTCTGTATTATCAGTTTTGTGTGTACTACTGCACTACAGTACCAATATGACAGAAGTAATGACAAGTGCGGACGCTCACTCCGACCCCTCTGCAGATCCCATCATGGACATAATTGCTGGGGCCACTCGATACAAGGTAGGCCTTTTTCTATAAAAAATATTCTGTTCAAAGGTTGCTTAATTTAAATGAGTGATTTTGTTTTATTAGCATAAAAACTATTAAGGGTTACACGTGCCATGCGTGCGTGTGCGTTACACCTGTCGCGAATGTTTTTGCAAAACTCAAACAGATTTAAGTGCATATATACATCTTTATATCTGTAAAAGAAAAACTGCATTTTCGTGTGCAGGGCAGATCTTTCATTTTTGTCAAAATTCTCATGTAAATTTCCAGCCAAAAAAAAAACCCTTAAGAACATGATTTTCATCGAAAAACAAATATCATTACATGCTCTTATAAAGGAGATAATACTGGTATTTCTATTAGGGTATTAGATCCACACTGGAATAATTATTACTTGTATTTAAAAACTCTCTGAGACAAAGTTCTCAACTGAATTTGTGTATGCTCACACACACCTGTCCCAATAACTTGGCATGAAATAAAATGCATTCAATGTCAAAATTAACCCATTCCTATACCGGGATACATCTAGTGCGCTTAAATTTGATAAGACACTGGGAGATTATAATTCCTAAGTGTTTCAGTGAATGGGGAAAAAAAGAACGATCCGTGCACTAAACTCAATGAGTAAAGTGTCAGATTTAGAAACAATATTCACTTTTTTGTTGCTAAAGCTGCGTCATACTTATAGTTTTAAGTGATAGATAAAGCAACATGCAATTGTTGTTTAAATCCATGTGTTTGAAAAAAAGTAAGTTCGATATATTAAAAAATACACAGTGAATGCTAAAAAATCTGAAAAGTTTTTTTTAATAAGTATTCCTGTTTTATGCAAACTGTTTTACAACTATCTTACAGCCAATTAAGTTGCGTGCATAAAACTTGTTTTATATCGTGAGCGTTTTTGAAGCATTTTACTTGCAATTTTAGGCAATTAAAAAGTTTTCACACCTTTGAAAATTCACAATTTATCTAATGGCAGCTAAAATCATGAGAAATATTTATGGAATAAAAAAAATTAAAATATAAAGAAAATTCGATTTTTCAATTTTCTTTTCAATCTGACATTCCTGAACATATTGGAAATTACTTTAGTCTTTGGGAATGAAAAATGCCTAGAAACTTCAGTTGTTCATCCATCGAATGATTTCCATTATACCACTTTAAAATTGATTTTTAAAAAAGGGCAAATAATTTTGAGCATCAGAAGAAATTCATATTTGGAACAAGATCGTGCGTCAGAATGGAGTTTTGTAGGAGAATATGGTAAATAGAGATAAAGCTCTTACTGGCCGTATTGAAAGTTGAAGGTCGATGTCCTTCCGTATCTGTTGATTCAGCAATGACAATACTTAAAATGAAAAACAACAAACTCTTGTGTTGCGGGTTGAAGGTAAAGCATTTAAATCTTTCGATGTTTGACCTTGAAAGGGAATTATTGGGGAATAAAGTCCCGGTTTATGTCCTCCTTTTGTTTTCATGACGAGGTACAGCACTGTCTGATAATAAAATCATTGGTATACATAACAAAATTGTCTAAAGTGCAGAAAATGTGCAGAAGATCTAATTACTTATATCAGGAATCTGCAAAAACTTTCCATAATTCATCAGATTTTATGAGTGAACTCAATTTGACAGTAAATCTGTACATATATTGCCACTGTGCATCAGCTATCGAAAAACCTCTTATTCGGCAGGACAGATCGCGGATATCAATCTTGTTAAATTTAGAGCGTCTTATAAGTGTATTCCTACTCCAATAGGCTGTTTTATCGCAGGTTTGTTGATATAAACTCGGTAATCTTTTGCCAAGGTTGTACTGTTCGTTATTTATTCAACATTCGCCGAATTCTTCCTGGTGATAACAGGAATGACACGAGTTTTGTCGTTTGTTTTAATGTGACGTCACTATGGACAATGCGCAAAACAATCACGTGGTGGTCAAGTCTTATTAATTCAGTTCACCCAATTACAAAAATGTTTTTGGTGTGGATTAGGCTTAAATTCTAAAACACTCGTACTTTGCTTGAGAGTAGTAGCACCGGGGGAGGTTTAAATATGACCCACGGTGTGACTTAAGACCATATAAATTACCACCGGTTTTCTTAAAATAATTCCATGGGCCACAAATTTGTAAAAAGACCGGCAATTGCATGTCTCCTGATTACGGGGGGTGATAAAAACTGCGCCGGTGCTAAAAGTAATTTTGTTAATAATTCTTTCCTACAAAAGGCGATAAACCAGATACATATGTAGTGATAGGTGTATTTCGAACCTTAGTTTCAGAATTTCAAGGATTTTGTCATTAGAGTAATCGGTTTAGATTTTTCTGGTGAGAATACCTCATTGCAAAATATACCTCCCTGTCAGAATTTGTTATAAGTTATTCGTTTAATTTTCAGCTTAAAATACCTCGACGCATCAATTTTTTAACTCGTTAACAGTGTCACAAGTAACACTTTCCTCTCTCACCAATAATGCTTTACAAAGACTTTCAAACGATTTTATAACCGTTTTTCTTGTTAATTATTAACAGGACATGACATTAAAAAAAATCACTAATTGGAAGCTTAGAAACATTTTCCAGTATCCCGTGGATTGTGTCGTGCCATAGGCATGATGCAGAATGTATAAACGTTCTATATACCGGATTTTTTTCCATTATTATTTTTTACAAATAACGAATGATGAATGCTTTTTGTGCGGATTCTTTAAGTCTGCTAAGCGTTAATTGACGGGTCACAAACTCTTGTTCGCCAAATGTAACTTCCTCGAAACAAACACCCCGCGACAATTTAAGCAAGAAATCTCTTTTCAGGTTTTTTGTGTTTCGAGTTTGCATTGACAATTATAAAAGGATTCCATGAAAATGTACAAATTTAAAGAATATGCATTTTCTTCAACTTTGATTTATATTTTCTTTCTCCAAGCTCAAAGTTACTACTTAAAAACGTAACTTGGTATTCAAACACAGATGCGTGGCATTTATTGAATGTAACTGATAAAATGTTGATTTGTAAAATGTGCATCTTGTTTCTTAATTTATTTTTTTTATCTAAAATAAAACAATCCTGCAAATTATTAGCAAATTGTTTTATTTTTTATGAAAGCATGTTAAAGATTTAGAAGGTGTGAGAAGGATTGTTTTAAGAATAATTTTCTTTCACGTCAATGCGGTTTTAGACGAAAGCAATAGAAAGATTATCAGATAGATTTGATCAATTTATAGACACTGCGCGCCACTTTGAATACAAGGATCGTGTATAAACTAATCTTGTTATGATATGTTTATGTTTTTGAAATTATAAATTCTAACACATTGATCTCTTTTATAACCATAGGAATTACAAACTTCGCTCTGTTCCTCGCCGTAAACCGTTAATTACCAATTTAACAGGAAAATCACGACTTGCAGGAATTGGGCTAAATATAAAATCGGGGTCGTGTAGATTCAATTTTACGCCAAACGGTTCTAGTCAATATCTGAAGGGTAATGAATTCCAAAAACTAAATATACTTCATATTCAAAACCAGGACAAAGTAAGGATACATCTGTTCAAGGTTGTGTAAATTACACCTCTTATACCTACGTCAATGCGTTCAACGCCGTGTTTGAAGGAATTATTCTGACGTCACAAAATCGACATCATTATTTATGACAGAATCTAAGACATAAAATATTTTGACAACCCCTGTTTTATTAACAGGTTGATTTTCTTTTCTTTTTTTATCGTGCTTTGGCCAATTGATTCTAAACAATAACTGTCAAACGAAGGGTACGATAACTGGATTTAATATTACCGATATGGTGATAAAGCTGCTAATATATCGCTTAACTCTCGTGTTATTTTATTTCACTCACTCTCCGCACAATGCTGATATAATTTAAGCCTGCATTATTTTTGTTTCTATTTTCCATTAACTTTGTGACAATTATTTTATTTTTGGTTGTCAGTAATAGATAAGATCCTTTTATAGCACACAAATAAACTTCTGTAATTGGAAATTTGAAACAAGTTGATAAAATATTGTCAAGGAATTGTATTGAAGTCAAGAAATAACTCTTTTTATGTTGTTCACATAAATATCTAAAGCTGTATATAGAAACCATTGGGCGACACTAGGTGTCATTTATTAAATGTTATTATAAATAAAATATAAGATGTTTATACGGATTGTTGCTTATAATCTGTACTCCGGTGCTATTTTTTGCCCTATAGTACGATGCAATATATAATTCACAAGCCCATGGGCAGCACGACTGTTGATGAGCAAAACGTCATGTACGACTCTACGGTCATCAAGCACAGTACATAGCTCATTTATAACTGTGACCTGTGTGGGAGTACCCTTAATTAATGAGGGACGTATAGTTCATTGATGACAAAAATCATCTATTATTTAACAAACGCATCTCCATATCAACAAACTTCAGATTATCGTAATCTTAGCACTGACATAATCGATTTAATTTTATAAATAACGCTATTGGAGACCATCTTTTGCCCCGATAAGGCGATATCGCTAAGCATCACGGAAGTGGATCCAGCTCCCCTCCCTTCCCAAGAATAAGTGTACCTGTTCCGATTGGTCAAAAAATCATATCTTTTTTTATCCCACCCCTGTTTGTTTAATTTATATTTCAGAAAAGGATGGATAGAGCATCCACATCTATTATTTGCAATTTGTCTTGTTATAAAAAAAACACACCAAAAACAGGATCAATTCGTGGTATAAAGTAAAAATGATTCTTAATTTTTTTTTTAAATAAATAAAATTATTTTGTAGATAATGATGCAGTGTATAGAAATTGGCCTGTTTGATGAAATTGAATCGCTTGGTGAGACTTGCACAGCAGAAACTATTGCTAAGAAGTGCGGGTATGACGTGTCGGTTTTAGAGCGACTACTTAGTACCCTGGCCAGTTACAACCTTTTGCAGAAGGACTGCAATAGAAAAGGTACTAAAAATAAAAAATTTTATTAAAAAAAAAAGATTTCTTCCACTTTTCATTTTTGAAATTAATAAAATGATATTGTGATATTTCTTGGTAGCAAAGAATGCACCGACATTTCTTTCATTACGTGAGTGATAAAGACAAAAAAATGTAATATTTTTAGAGGGACCATTTGACCATTGTCTTAGTCAAAGATAAAAGTAAAAAAGAAATAGTCTTGAAATGTGCTATACAGTGTCATGCTCTAAATCCTGAATTTACCAGGTGGTAATATAGTATAAAATTTAAAGTTGTCGTATTGTAAATTCCCTATTTGTTGTCATCCAGCAAATTTCAAATTTTACATGAAACTAAATTTGCACTGCTTAAGAACAAAATTTATTTCAAGTTTCCTTATTTTGCTGAATTTTTGCCTACAAAAAATTCAATCCTTAATTTTATCTTAGAAATCCATGAAAAACATCGCCAGATATTGAGAGTTTGGAAGTTATCGCAATTGGAAGTTGATAGTTCGCTGATGTATCACTTCTTTAATCTAACTGTCATTAGAGTGGGAGGGTGGATACTCTAGTCAGCGACATTAAGCTTAATTGGATAATGAATTTGTTTACCCGTTAAGAAAAGTGTCAAGTAATCCATGTTTGCAATGTTTTTGCGACTTTCATGCCTATAAACATTTGACTCTAATTACAACCGACACTTTTGGCAGTGAAAAAGTTTTTTTTTTTCCTTATCATCTTGCATCGCAGTCGTACCGAAACAAAATTTATTACAGTTTCACGAAACACACATTTAATTAGAACCAAACTATCCTAAAATAATCCTAGTTTTAGTCTCGACTGCTTTTGGCTTTTTTACGACTGTCTAATGTCCAGAGGGCATTTCTGCGTCCTTTGCTTCAGAGGAGGCCTAAATCCGTCATTGACGATATTTACTGTGTTGTGAGGACAGGGCTCTGACAGAAGCGTTCATTAATTAAATAACCATTTCATTACTGCGTGGGATGTACAACAATTGTCCAGATAGGGAGTAGGGTTCATTATCAGGTTCCTTTCCGAGACGCAAATGGTACACAATTTGGCCTTATCAAGCCTTGCCATCTGTATCTCTTAACCCGTATCTGTCATATCTGCCATGATAAATGAAACACGGGGGATATATAGAAGTATGAATGAACTATTCTCTGGATGAATGCTAAGATGTGACCCCTCATCTTCAAGGTCAAGTTAGCGGAAATGCCCATCCCTTGAGATATATGAAGTTGAAGATAGGGGCCCATATATTACATATGATTTATATTTCAATGTTAAATGCTCCAATTAAGTAGTAGGAGAGAAACTATGAATGAAAGTCCCGTAAAATTATTTTCTCTGAGATCAATGAACGTAATAGTCCCAACCAAAAGATAACGTTGGCAGAAATCAACGTGCGTTCTCAGTTTCTATGTCGATTTATTTTATATTGAATAAAAATAAATAGAATTTTTAAAGAGATATGAAAAGAGCATTGAAGAGGGGTCCATATATAGAGGAGGGGGTGGGGGTGGGGTATCGAGTCTCTAATAGTCAAGCAAAATGTACACTAATACTAGCATATAAGGATTTTATATTAATATCTGAGTGCACGTATGGTCTTGTACAAATGAATGCTTTACTAAATATTTTCTGGATTTGATGGGAATATCCAATGGTTTTTCATAAAAAATTGTTTGAATATATTTCTTTTGATTTTTGTTTTTAGGCATGCCTTCGTACAGGAACTCGTCAGGAACATCTAAATATCTTACTCGATCACGACGACCCACAATGATAGGACTAGCAATGTCGGTGGATGCAATGATCCATCCATTGCTCGATAATCTCCCCATGCTCCTGAAATCAGGTAATTAGCCTTATCTTCAGTAGTAAATATAGTGAGCTTTCCATATCTTATATTTTATTTATAACACGAGGAGGAGGATAATCACCCAGAAGTCTTTGATGAATTCTGAGAAAATGTTTGGCATTGGAGATTCCATATAACCAAATTATTCATCGTGGGCAACAATGCACGATTAAAGTTGTTAATATTTTTATTCCCTTCATGTTTGTTTTGAATTTTCTCCGTATGCATTTATTTTGAAAAAAAACCTTTGGTGAGAAAATTTTGGATGTACGTTTGTAACGTTTGTTGGATCGTTACTAAATAAACTCTTTAAGTACGAGGTCAGAAGAAGGTGTGAAGCAAGCGGAAATGTCTAGAACTAAGTTGATAATTGCCTTGTTAATTTTGTTAAAACACTTATTCTGAAACTGTCAACATGTGCCCGAAGGCAGCAAATGACAAACTCGGCTATTTGACATGAAGCTGTTTTTTTGAAGATTTAATGATGCCGGAAGAAAAATGTTGGTTTCTGAATCATTTAAAACAAATTTAGTAAACGCGATGCCCCTGTAAAATTGCAGTGGACTAAACGTTTCATCTTCATTACTCAAGAAATACCCATCCATTAGATACATCTAATAAGCATACATATATATAGATATTTTCTTGCAAGAGTTCCTTCATAAGTACATTCTATATTTAGACAAGTTTATAAAACAAAAAAAGGAGTCCTAATTTGAAAGTACAATTGAGAATAAATATATTCAACATTTCCAAAACTTCAAAACAGTTTTCCTTGTAACGTGTATGTTTGAATACATATGAGAATCGTTTGTCAACAAGAACATTATGGGACCTATGATAAACGTTTTAACAATACGATGACTAATTATGTATTTTATTATTTTCTATTAAGTTTATTAATTCGTTTTAAATACATGAGGAAACTTTATTCTAAAACCGGAAATAAAGCATTTTTTTTCTTTCTTATTCACACAGGAAAACCAAAACTCGACATTAATAAAAACGTGGCCGATAATGGCAATATACTGAGCTCCTCACCAAACCACCAAAAGACACCAAACAACATAATGGACAAAGAAAATAACATGGGACCAGGCTCTCCCATTAAACAGAACATGTCTAGTATGCCTCATATTCCAAAAATGCCCTGCATGCCCAAAATGCCCCCAAACTCTACCAAAATGCCCATGGAGAAAAATGGCATTGATTACCAGGCCAAATTCCTCATGGCTATGGAGGGATTCTCAGCATCGTGTGCATCCTCTATAGTCAAAGCCTTTGACCTCAGCCAGCACAGATCTGCAGTAGATCTTGGGGGTAGGTATCTTAATCTTGGTTTAATCATTTTTAGTTTTTAAAGAATATACTCTCTAACACTATGCAAGCGGAATATCATTTTTGTTATCTGGGAGTAGGATATAAAAGGGTTTAAAGTTGAATTTATGTTTGATTTATGCTTATAAAATATGATTTATTTTATGTATACTAAATTATTGGTCAAGGTCGCTATGTAATAGTTTGATCAAGGTAAAATTAAAAGTACTTTTATTTGTCTCAATAAGGGGAAACTTCTGCATTGTTAATATAATGATTAACAAAAGTGCAAGAGGTTAATAACATTCTAAATACCAACATGTAGTATTTTTGTAAGAAAGACTTTGTATTATATTGCACATAAATATTTATAAAGTTGTTATTAGAAAAAAAATACCATATTTAAATATCAAACATAGTTTTCCCACACATCAAACATCTAGGTGATAAAAAGTGTGTCAATTAATTTAATTGTTAGTAATATTACAGAAATTATTTGTTTTTGTATCCAATTTTTACAAACCACAAATACAGAATTAAGCGTAAATGTAATTTTTTGTTGATAAGTATAAACAGTGTTTTTTTGTTTTTGTTTTTTTTTACGAATTCGATTTCACAAAACGCTCTTTGAATCGTAAAGAGAACTGATGTAACGAAAACAAGGAAGTAGATTCTCTCTCGATGACCCACTGACCCTTTGCGTGCACAAAGTGCCACAGAAAAAAGAAGCTTCATTGGTCCGATACCAGCAACCCAATTTTTGTGCACGTTTTATAAATAGCATGTCTAATTATCAAATTTATTGTCAAGAAACTGTTTGGTGTTAAACCGCATCGTCTGTCTTCTGTTTTTTGACTTTCATGTGTGGCGGGGGAGAATGAATCGTATGGTTGCTCTTCCAAAGACAAATAAACATCAGTCTTAAATTTGAACAAGCTTCATCTTACATTACCCACATACTTAATCTAAGAAGCATTAAGCATAGGGAACATTAAACTTTGCAAAATTAAAATGCATCATTTTATTTACAAATATGCAATGATATCGAATTTTGCGAGTATTGCAGGATTTGTATCTCATTATAGCTTATGTGTATGACTTCTATTTAGGTGGACCTGGTAGAATCTCGTTTGAAATGGCCAATACTTATCCTCACATGAAGATCACCGTCTTCGATCTTCCTCCTGTCATTCAGGTGGCACAGAAGATGCAGCAGCCATGTTCTCAGGGACAAATCTTCTTCAAGACTGGTTAGTGTCAATATAAATACAGTCTATATAGTGTTCTCAAGAATGTCACACAAATATTTAAATCACAAAAACATTTTGAAAAAATTAACTATGGTATTTACCACGAGCTGAAATAAAAAATGGGAAGTTATACCAATATCGTGAATTTCCTGAATATTATATATACAGTTACCTATAACAATCTTACTTGGTTTCTTTGCATTGGGGAAAATTGATATAAATTTGCAGTGTATTGCTAAGCTTTAAAGCAACACAGAAAATGATGTTTTCTTATTTTTTCCTTGTTGCTAAAATAGTTTGTTCCTCACAACCACAATTTCAGTTTTTATAAATATTTTTTTTTACTATTTACCACCATTCAGGAAACTTCTTTGAAGATGAAATACCATCTGCGGACCTCTATCTTTTGGGTCATGTTATTCATGGGTTTGACCTGAAAGGAATCGACAGACTTCTTCAGAAAGTGTACTCTAAACTTCCACCAGGTGAGCAAACAAAAGCTTGCTGTGCATTATGAACATTCCACGTTTTTTGTGGCCCCATGATCAACTGTTGCATAACAAATTAAACAGTTTATTTATTACCATTCTTGAATTTTGTTTTGACAGATAATATGCATATTAAATAAACTGTATTGCGAATAACAAAAAAATAAAAACACAAACACTAAACACACCTTGCATGCCGTATTTTAATCAAATTCTGCATCCAAAAAATATCATCAGAATTATTTGTAAGTATTTGTTTCTATTTATAGGTGGATCTGTTCTAGTCATGGAAAAGATTCTTGCAGAAAACAGAACAGAACCAGAACTCGCTGTCACCAATGACTTTGTGATGACACTTCTCTCACAAGGACAGGAAAGAACCTTTTCCGACTACCAGAAACTCTTTTCTAAGCATGGTTTCGTCAATGTGCAGTTCAAACACATAGATGGTCTAAATTATTATGACGTCATGCTCCTGAAGAAGCCATTTTAGCTTCTTTTTTACTCGGAGACTTGGAATCCATACTGCATTCAGCCAATTTTTAGCAGATCTGTTCTTTGTACCCCTTATTGATGGATTGTCCCAAACAATATGCAGGCCAGAAATTTGTACCAAAGATATGGGTTTATGTTGTCTTATTTCTTTTTTGATGAAGACAAATAAACCCTATCAATTGTAATCGCTCCCTTTTAATCGATGAGCGCATAATTATGTCACCAATTATAAATTAGGTGTAAAATTTGACAATTTTGTTTTCAAGCAAATTTTTTATTGTCTGTGAAGTACAGCTGTTATTTTAAACAGTCATCTTGCTGACTGTTGAAAATTGTAATCTAATATACTTTGTTACGCAAACTGAATATTTTTGTTACTGATCTCATGTCACGGCAATGTAACTTACAATGTAAGTAACTCTATCACTTAATGTTAATGGCGACAAATCACACAGTTAGTTTCCATTTATCACGTGCACCATAATCAGGTCCAGCCATGTGTCTTTAGGGGGTGTATTTTCAAATCAGGGGAATATATCATCGATCTTTTAGCAAATGTCATAAGAAGTTTATGAAATTGCTGTGTAAAGGTTCGACTTGTTCCAAAAACTGTGCTTTTATTAGTGGACATTTTACAACAATAATTCAATTTTAAGTCAAAGAAACATCAGATCCCAGTGACTTTGAATCTCAAAATTCCGAATCAGTTTTTTTGGAGGTACATTGTTATTCATTTGACCATAAGTGCAGTATTTATGGACAATTTTTATCACCTATGTGATAATATCTTACTTAAATTGCATTTAACGATGTTGTTTAATATTGTGATATTGTCTGTTTGAAATACTTTCATCACATATTGGCAAATATTTTGTAAATACTTATTGACGCCGATCGCAAGAGGTGATTTAATTAAAGGGATATACAAATTGTATCTCTGATTGTTTTTTTCATACTCATGTTAAAATTAATCTGTTACGTGTTGGACCAATTGTAAGTGTTTAATTTTTAATGTAGATTACTGTTTTGTTAATTATTTATATTGATCTGTTTCAATTTATTGTTATTATATATGACGATTAACTTACTTATATCCAAATAAATGAATAAACCTTGTAGTAAGTTTCTTCCTATTTTCCAAACTCGGCATAAACACAAAGATGTGTTTGTGAATCACTGATACCCCCGTATGGCAGCTTATGGTGAGTGTTGAAATTTCTCAGATGTATGTCAAACTCCAAAGGTCAAGGTCAAAATGTTAATACTCAAAGGAAGGCCTTGATACAAGGAATAAACATTTCAAATATGAAAGCACTGGTGCTAACCGCTAAAAATGTTACATGTATGAACAAGAATAAAGTTTTTTAAAAAGTGGTCAAACTCTAAGGTCAAGGCCAAAAGATGAAAAAATACTACCCACTGAAAGGTCTTGTCACAATGAATACACATGTGAAGTATAAAAGCCCTAGCTCCAATTGTTCTAAAGTTATGGTCAAGTTAATGTGTGATTTGTTTGGTAAAAGTAGACCAAACTTCAAGGTCAAGAGATCAAATTTGGTGGTACCCAAAATAAGGTCTTTTCACAAAAACACAACTGTGAAATATGATAGCCATAGCCCCACCCCATTCAAGAGTTGTGAGCAAGATTAAAGATTTTGCGAACAGAGATACACACAGACGGATGGACAATGCAAAAATTACATACCCCCGAAATTTCATTTGCGGGGGCATCAAAATCCCCGAAACGGGATAAACAGTTACAGGAATTATGTGGACATGTAGGTGGAATAAAATACTTCACTGCAATGAACTGGTTTTTTTTTAAACTCAATGAAGAAGCGATGAAATATTGAGAGAACGAACCGTGATCAGGCTCAAATGTCTATGATAACAATACAGACCGCAGAGCAAACATGAACCTCCAAACACATCAGAGGTGAGATCAGGTGCCATGGAGGCGTAATCATCCCCTGTCAACCGGTCACACCTGATACATGCTTGCATGGTCGGACAACCCGAAAAATCCGTCGAGAACTCTCTGTGTAAATAATTTAAGTAAAGTAGTATCCTATTTATGAAATATTTAATTTTTTTCATAACTCCACTTAAAGTCATTTGTGAATCATTCATTGGTGTTCCTTTTATTTAAAAAAATACTTATAGGGCTAATTTTACATTATTTCATAACAAATCAACAAATTTTAGCACATGACTCATACAATAGAAAACATAGCTACTATAAGCTCGTGTCCCCTCGATAACAAGAATCCCATGGGTCACATCGCTCACCTGAGAAATTTGGTCATTCTGTTCTTAACTAGATTCCCCAATTGTAATACCTGTTGTGACCCAACCCTACCAAAAAGGGACATGAGTCGGACAATTAAGAATCTTAACTATCCTACAATGGTTCCATAGAAGTTTCTTCTTTTTAAACCCAGTGGTTATTTACAAGAAGATTATTTAAAATTTTCCAAGATATATTTCAATATGAAACTTGGATTCCCTATTGTGGTCTAGCACTATACCCCTGGGCGTCATGATTTGAACAATTTAGAATCAACGGTACCCCCCCCCCCCCCGAATGCTTTCAATTCAGCTTTTATGGCTCAGTGGTTCTTGAGAAGAATTTTGAATGATCCCACACTATTTTTGTCTTTTCTTGATTCCCCTTGCAAAGAGACTAGGCCCTTTATTTTGACATTTCAAAATCCCCTTTACCCAAGTATGCTTTGTATCAAGTTTGGTTACAATCGGCCCAGTGGTTCATGAGTACAAGATGAAAATTAGAAAAGTTTACAAACAGACGGACAGACAGACAGCTAGGACGGACGATGGACTACGGGTGATCAGAAAAGCTTATTTTAGCTTTCAGCTCAGGTGAACTAAAAAAGATGAGCTTTTTATGCTAGTCAAGGAATTTTTGGTAGTTCATCAGTAAGTGTCCCCAACTGAAAAAATTTGGCTGTGCCCCCAAAACTGAAAGTGGTTCCTACGGGCCTGCAACTGATACGTATATTGAATAAAAACCAACATATCGTTTGAGAACATCATGAATGTCGAATATTAAAATTCAAGTTTTATTGCCTTACGTTTAACCGAGATTTTGTAAATAAAATCATCCCAAATTAAAAAAAAAACTAAGACATTGTATAATCATTATCATTGTTGAGTATCATGGTTAAATACAGGAACAGCTTGCAAATACATTTGCTTTTACTTGTTATTGACCAGTGCATCAACCTTTACAGTATAAAAATATTGCATCATTTGTTAAAAAAATAACAGGAGTTTTGCAACCCTCTCATACTCAATATACCTCGCATTTTATTGTGAAATAAAATCGTAGATTTAGACTTTAAAAACGTAGGCACATATCATATTTAAATTACACGAGAACTTCCACGCCAATTTCAATCGTCCTCGCCCTGTTGTCAAACACAAAGGCAGCCGCACGAGATTTACATGCAAATTTGGACTCCTTAGCATCAGACACAGAGACAGATGTGCACGAGATTTGCATGAATATTAGGCCTCCTTAGCTTACTCGAGTAGATTTGCAGTCTTCTTCCAGCGAGTGCTGGCGTCTCCATAGAAGTGATAATTCTTCAGAGGGATATTAAACAACACATATTTCCATTTCTAATTTTTTTCACTATGATAACTCTTTGAAAGTTAGCGGAGTTGATTTCTCGATAATTTTACCGGAATGTAAATTAGGCAGGTCGATAGGTCAGGAGCATTTGAGCCGCCACCTTCGGCGACATGGGACCTCGATGTATATATGGTCTCATCCTGAGGACCAGTCTCCCTCAGTGGATTCGATCCCGTCACGTAAGGATCTGCTCCCTACTTCGCGACCCTAGATCGGACGCTCTAACCACTGTGCCATACAGGCGACGCGTAAAGAAGTAGACTGTAAAACGGTATAATGATAAGACGCACAATGCGAACATTTGGCACTCAAGTAGACCACATTAAGATACACAAATATGTTTAACTGATTTTTGATTTCAGTAAACAGTATAGTCATGATTACTAAAAATGAAATTTCCGTGAAATACTTTCAACGCGCTTCTCCACCTACAATTTTACTTACTATGATTTCAATAGAACTTTGCACACAGTATAACTTTGCACACTTTGATACCTAATTCTCCACACAAGTAAATCAGTTTCATAGACTTCTGGATTGATTTGCACACAAGTACACTACTGAAAATGCTTAAAAATAATTATTATACCCCGTTTGAAAAGCAGGGGGTTTATAGTGATGGGGGTGTCCGTCCGTCCGTCTGTTACACTTTGGGGTAATTCTCCTTTATTGAAAGTTGATTGTGCACTTATTTATTTCAAATCAAAGTTCATTTTTTAAATATAAATGCTAGTACGAACTCCTCCAATACAAGATGGTGATTCTTTATTACACAATACCATTGTGCAGATTTTACTTTTTTCAATTATCAAACTTCTGTTTTGATTTGTGGGTCAACATTTAGATATATCTTGATAGTAATTTAACATATATCGTTCCGCTTTGATGATATTTTACTTTTAAAAGACGTTAATAGTAACTAACAACCAAGCCTATGATAAACGGTTTAGGCAGCATTATACCTTCATCACCTGCATACATAATGTATATATCTCGGTTCATTCGATACGCAAGAGCATACTCTACGTATGAACAATTTCTAAAACTGACAAACAAGTTGATGAAACAAGAATATCAACAGTCTCGTTTGAGGTCATCATTTCGTAGGTTCTTTGGTCGATACGGTGACCTTCATTGAGTCAAATGCTGACTGACGTTTTCAATTGTTAATCCATTATTTATACACTGAATTGACGACGGATGTTTCCGTTATTTCCCGATCATGACAAGGAGCACACAGCGGATGTGACCGGTCAGCAGGGGATGCTCACTACTTTATGGCACCTGATCCCACCTCTGATGTTTCAGAGGTCCGTGTTTGCTCTACTCCTATTTTGTATTGTTTAATGGACTTTGATATTGAATACTCATGTTCGTTATCTTCATATCCTTCACAGTACCTCAAACATTTAAACGAATTAACATTGAAATGATTAATATGAATTGAAATGACTGCATCTCGGAAATAAAGTTAACAATATATTTAAGCCTCGTGTAAATAAGTTTTATTATAGTTGCATAAGATTCTGTTGCGTAGTTTGACCGACAACATTCTAATAAATTTTTATTTCGAATTCGGTCAAATAAGAGGGGGTTTCTGTCAGAACAATTAAAATGCATGCAATTTCTTGATATATTTTTTCTTCGAGTAACAAGATTGCATTGATATTCCTTAAAGGTCAATAGGATTTTTTTTTCAAAGAAAAGCGGTCGCTTGTTAAAACCCATGAGTATTGCTTTTATCACACGAAGTTGATTGCTTTGTAACAACGATCCTGAAGTTCTCTGCTTTCAATTAGAGAGTATTCTAAATTAATATGCATGAATCAGTTACGTCACAGATTACCTTGTTACGAAGTTCCTTCAAATTTCTGTGGGCCTATCATAAACTATTATCTCTACCGGCAACAACGTGTGAAACAAATGTCTTTTCCTTCAAAGATTGAAGGTGTTTTGTTACCTTATATAAAACTGTCGTTAATGCCAGTGTTTAAGAAGGACTTTTTACGTCCTGACAATTATAACAAAATTAGAGTGGCGTGAGCCTATTTTTATTGGTTGGATTGTTATCCCAGAGTTTTATGTAACTGCTGACTTAATAACTCGCTATTATGGTGACGTTTATTAGAATATCTTAAATAGTACCGTTTCAGGAAGCTTGATACCCAATGTGTTTATTTGACAGTTTAGAATTATCATCATTGTGTATGTATATGAAAATTTCAATGCGTAGATTAATTGTACCTGTAAATCTAACATTGTCATTAATAGCATACAAAATGCATCCTTTCATAAACGTTTGAATTGACTTTCTGGTATGAGGAAATAAGCGTTATGTCAGAGAAACAAAGTTCGTCTAAAATAAGCTCAAAATACCCAACAAAGAACCCGCATTTTCTCAATAAATCCAGACGATATCTGTCTTTTTCATCAAATTGTATTCATCACCTCTTTTTTTGTT